ATTGCACTGACGTCTTCATACTCTTTCAGGTGCTAGAACAAGGCCAAACGTAATCCTACATTTTGACCCAATTTTGGCTCCACTAAACAGTCTGTTCTGTTTAACAAACTCGGTCGGTATGCAAGCTTCGGAAGCTTTAACGAGTTCAGGTTCTTAGTGCGAGAAAAGCTTTCGCACAAAAAGTCCGAAGAAATACCCACTCTCACCCAACTTCTATTAAATCTCATCGACGACGGAAGATGAGGCGCAACAGAGTTCCTTCAGAAAAACAAAACTGTCGACTTGGAATATGTCAGTGACATTCTTTTCATCTTTGAAAAAACGCGCTAGCGTATTTAGGTGGATTGATCACGGTTAGCCCGACCAATGTTACCGCCTTGGGTGCTGCAATGAGAGACCTCGTACCACGAGCAATCGTAACACGAGGAGATCTGGAGGTAAAGTCGTACTGTCCTTTGCAAAAGGAGTGCGAAGGTAGTAAGACGTTTCCCTCAGGCGACCAGCGTATCCATATTTATGGAAGCAGCAATGCTGCCTTCCCTTGAGGAACGAGTATGAAAACGTCGGCCCCAAAAACCGCGCACTCCGGTTACCCAACGGTTGGCTGTGATCACCGGCGCAGTATGCAATAAGGTCGAAACACTTTTAAAACCAAATAGTCTGGTGCTGCTCAAAAGGTGCCCCTCAAACCGCTGAGAACGAGCCCAGATGTTCCATATTTCACTCTTCGGGCATCCGGTGATCCTGACGCAATGGCTCGTGGTGTCTACGGTGTGGGAGTTGCACTCAACCCCAAGGCTGGAAGCTGCTTACATTACTGTCTCCCAGTAAACAGTCGCCTTTGCGCTGTGCGGTTGTCTGGTTCAAGTAAGATTAACGTGGTAAATGGCGTTTGCTCGTCGTATCATCAAACTCCCCGGGGGCGAGATGGCTCAAGTGGTTAGAGCGTGAATTTACTGAAGAAGGCCCGTGGTTCGAACCCGACCTCTGCCTCTCGACTTCCCCTGTCTAGGCTTGGGCAACCTGGCAGTATTCCAGCCCTCGTGCTTCCTTCGGGTAGTATGGCAGGTAGGCACCGGGTGTTACAGCTGAACGATACTCACCAAGAGGTAACAGTTCTGACTGAGAAGGGCGATTTTTATCAAGATCTGTCAGGACTGCTTCGGTCGTCAAGAAGGACGGGTATAGTTATCTTGCCGGGTGATATAAATGCTCAAATTGGATGACTAAGTCCGGAAGAAACACAGTTAGGTGTTCGATTTGGAGTCGACGCTGAGGATAGTGGGGAGCGGCTTCTTCAGTTGTGTACAGACCATCGTCTGTTCCTGGCCAGTACGAACTTCCAACACAAAAGCCTACACCGAGTCACTTGGAGGCCACCTACCACAAGACAGCCATTGACTCAATTGGACCATATAGCTGTCAGTTACCGATGGAGAGCCTCAGTTAAGGATTGTCGTTCCTTCTGGGGTACGCAACTGATTACGCCATCGTGCAGGCCCGCTCAGCAGTTCGCTTTCCGCCAGCACTACGCGTGCCGAAAGACAGCAACTCCGTTCACCAACTTCGACAAGTTTCAGTAGCCGAAGGGTATCGAGCTGATCTGGCTAGAAAGCTACCGAAAATGCACAGTCATGTGGACGACGAATATTGTTTGGAGATTAAATGGAGGCGAGTTGAAGAAGCAATGCCCTCAGCCGTGGTCTGTCCAGGCCATCCGACTTGACTAAATCAACACTGGATATCGTCAAGATCAGCAGATCTTATTAAAGGCCATACCAGCAACCAGCGACAATCATGGCGAACGCAGATCCCTCAAACACCGAATAATCAGGAGCCTGAAGAATGAAAGAGAAGGCTGCCAGATTTCAAAGGCCCAGGAGATGGAGAAAGCTTCCGCTGCAGGCAACGGCCACGCCCAGTTTCAGTTGAGTCAATCAACCGGTAAAAAGGCAGGTGTCAGTGTCAGACGTCTCACGTGTGTCGTTTTTCTTGATTTGAAGGCTGATTTTTATTTTGTTGATCATCAAAAGCTTTGATAATGTCTGGGAGTTGAAGGAGTCCCCTCCAACTTTATATCCCTTACGAAGGCACGGTATGCGCACTCCTGTGGGCGCGTACGAGTATACATGAAGCTTTTACCTGAGTTCACCACATCCAGTGGTAAGATAAGACTGTCCTTTCTCAACTTTCCTGTTCAACTTTGCTATTAACATGCTGCTTGAAATTTCTCTGCCTGTCTGGGGGCAAGACGGCCCAAGTGGTTAGAGCGCGAATTCACTAACCGGAAGGTCCGTGGTTCGAGCCCGACCTCTGCCACTCGAGTTCCCTTGTCTAGGCTTGGGCAACTTGGCAGTATCCCAGCCCTCGTGCTTCCTCCGGGTGGCATGGCAGTTAGGCACCGGAAGGGTGTTACAGCTGAACAATTATTATTATTATTATTTTTCTCTGCCTGTCTCTAAAACCTCAGGAGTCGAAACGGTCCCGGAACGTTTGCACAGACAGAAAACGCAGACAATATTACTCTCCTTGGTTCAGATCCTCCCCAAATGCAAATGATTTTAAATAATCTCTGCCGCACGGTTTGGCATGCGCTTCACACCTGCAAAGTGTAAATTCCTTTTACGAGACTGGGTTGGATTAAACCAAAGCCTCATGTTTGCAGACGAGCCAATCAACGCGGCCAATTAATGTCTTTACCCGGGCAGTTGTGTGAGTCCAGGTGGAATGGCTGGAGATGAGATTACTACTCAGATCGGAGACTTTTGCCAAATTCCGATACCCATGGCGCCGACATGACGTGAGTTTGTTTATCAGGGGTAGAGTTTAAACTGTGGTGGTGCGATCCATATTGCTTTTGGGTCACGGAAGATGTCAGTGCTTGACCATCGGTGTCTCCGGAGCATTGGTCATGTTTGGTGGGAACATCGGATAAGCAATGCTGAGGTATGATATATGGTCATAAGAAGAAGGAACACTACAGCGACAGATGAATTACTCACGCTGCATAAGGTACACTGGTTAGGACATGTAATGCGCATGTCAGAAGACCATCTGCCTGATAGAGCTCTTTCCGCTTAGTCCTGTGGTGAGTAGAAGCGATCGAGAGGTGGACAGTGTATGGCCTGGCAAGGACGTATGAGAACACTAACCAATACACTTGGGGACCCCGGGACTCATCCAATTACACTCGCAGAAACGGCCCAATCGCAAAGTCGGTGACACCAATCCATCAAAGCTATCGCCTTCAATGCGTTGCTATCCTACCCCCGAACTAACTAAGCATGAGATCACCTCCAAAAATCCACATTGTCCCATTTTCTGGTTATCGAAACTACAGTGGCTGGTTCAATGTGCATGGTACATGGTTTATAGCTGATAAACTGATAGATTAATTCGAGCTCCCGATTATTCAATTTTTCAGGAATCTGTGTGCACCATCGTATTCGCCAGTTACTGGTATGTATTTTTCGGAAGACGCGACGGTCTCGACGATATAGTGTTTATTCAATCGGCTGCGCAAAACTGGTGCTTTTTTGAGCAATAACAGACTATGGTTTTAAAAGTATTTCCACCCCATGGAATGATACGCAGGCGGTCACGGTTAAATGCTTGACGACCGGAATGTGTTTTTTAGAGACGGCCTTTTTAACCCGTTCTTCCTAGCTGGAAGGCAGCATCGCTGTTATATAGATACGGACATTCTGGTTACCCGGAGAAGTAAATTAATGCCCTAACACTCTTATCGCAGACGACAGTAGGAATTCGTCTTTAGGTCACCTCTTGACATGATATCTCCCAGGACGAGTACTCACCGTTCTTCATCAGGTTCGTCACCGCTGGCCTTCATGGCATAGTTGAACCTCGAGAAACGGAGTTTCAACCAGTGTAGCCCGAAAAATCATCGCAGCGCTCAGGTCCGACCGGTAGCAGTTTAGGTTGGGGCCTTTTCCGGTGCCGAAAGTCCTCTCTATCTGGTGGACTTTCACTGCTCACCAAAGCCTGGGCTCTTTGTTATTGAGATTATGTGTGCACCGCCGCAGCCGCTGCCACCTGGTGTAGATTTCTTGGTATCAATGAAGACCAGCGACCAGCAGTCATTTGACTGTATCCGTGAAGTCCGACAGACAGAAACGAACACCGCTAGCATAACGCATTTCACATTTTGCCATGCTTCACGGGGGCCGTAAGGTCGAAAGCATTCAGACGAGTGGAATTTCCTGTTCGATCCACGGGCAAAAGCCAAGCGGATCTTCACCGCCCGTGAAAAGTTCGGTGTATTCCTCGACCACGGACTGTACGGACGGCATGTCACAAGACGGAAGCTTTCGGACACGCAGCTCGCTCACGGCAGCGATTGAATAACCTTCAAGCTTGACTGTGCCATACCTTGCCACCAGTTTTCCCTGCTTTAGGTCAACCACGGAATCTGTGCTCTTGAGAAAACCTGCCGCCTAGTATCGTCCACTCTATGTCCGGGCTGATCGGGAACGCGTGATTCGCGGACTTGTCACCTAGGCATTCACAATCCGTCAATCTTCCGTCGATATCCACCCACAGCTCTCACGGCTAGCGCGCACGGTGTGCATTTAGCTTGGTTCCCTTACCGCCTCAGCGACACCCCTGGTCCTGTGTCAATCAAGCACAGCCCCCTCTTCCGTCTCGGCCGTCTCGATAATGGCCTGTATGGTATCCTGCCACTGCGCTTATCGCAACCCACCCAGGAAAAGAGGAGCACTCCAAAATTTTATTATTTACAAGTGACCGGGTAGAACGGCATTGATTCCTCCAGTGGCCAGGCCTGTCACACTTGTAGCACCAGCTCTCCCAGCGCGCCTCCGCGATTCCGTCTTTATGGCTGCAAGCTGTTCCGCAAGTTGGTCCACTCTGGTCTGCAATTCGTCGACTGGTGAACCATCTATTTTCTCCTGCGAATGCAACGTGGGCAGTGGTGCCTCAGCCAATTCCCGTGCCAGATGCACCAGCTCCTGCACACTCACCTGGTCAGTTGCCCTTGCCAACCACAACTGGGCACCAAGTGCGGGCTGAACTCCTCCAGTGAACTGGTCAGACAGCAACTGCTGGCACGACACTCCGTCCAATCCCGGCAAAGCCCGATTCAACGATTGCTGCAGGTCGGCGAAGAACACGGTCGGGTCACATTCAAGTGCCATTATGGCCGTTTTGAACCGCCTCATGGCCTCCTGGCGTGTCGAACTACGCTGCAAGAGCTGCCTTCGCGGCGGTCCAGTCCATCTTCCGAGGGCCCTTTCTGGCCGCATCCAGGGTCGCCTTCGCCCAGCCTCTGAGGAGGGTCTTAAGCGCCGCCAACTTACCCGGTCGGTATCCAGTCCAGCAGCCTCCGCAACCTCCTCGAAGTCTGCCAGGAAGGTTCGAACATCCCCATTCTTAAAGGGAGGCGAGATGGACCAAGGGGTTAGAGCGCGAATTTACTGAACGGAAGGTCCGTGGTTCGAATCTGACCTCTGCCTCTCGACTTCTCCTGTCCAGGCTTGGGCAACCTGGCAATATCCGAGCCCTCGTGCTTCCTTCGGATGGCATGGCAGCTAGGGCACCGGAAGGTGTCACAGCTGAACGGTTCTTCTATTCTTAAAGGGTTGTGGCTATGGGATCTTCATCCTTATCCTGGCAAAGGCGCCAAATGAAAGGAAGGCCTTCGCTGTGGACTTATTTATTGGAAAAAACCAAATGAACAGTTACAAATTATTGGAGAGGGAAGCAAAACTCTCATATGCAACTTGTTTGTAAAAACTGAATATCCATCTACTTCTCGAACGCGTTTTCCTGAGCTGTCCTGGATACTCATTGACTATCACTCAAATGTAAACGAATGCTACAAAACAGTTCCACAAATTCCGTAATAAATCTCAATAAACGCGAAGCGGATTTATGGGAAAACGAAATACAACTCGCATGCTTCATCAGCAGTATCCACCGTTACAACAGGACGGTCGGTTTACTGTAGACAGCAGTTGGGGTGTGCCAGATCGATAATGTTGAGCCATATTAGTTCTCCGAATATGGTGGATTGTCATGTTCCTTGCTGACAAGCGAGGGCCTGAAGGATGACGAAGTATAAGGCGTGCTAGCACCATAGCATGGTCGGAATCAAGTTGTGTCCCAGAAGGAACGGCAATCTTGAATTGAAGCTCTACACAGGTGTGTGATGGCCACGTGATCCAGCTGGGTCCATGGTTGATTCACAGTTGGTGGCCGGCAAGTTACGTAGTTCGATCATTTATGCCGAAAGTTCGCACTGGCCAGAAACAATTCAGTACACAAATGGACGAGTCGCCCTCCATTGTCTGTGCGACGAGAATCGACTCCGACGCGACTGCCCAGAGGTGATTCTAAGGAGCTTAGACGACCCATTTGGGCAATCGTATCATCCGCAAAGAGGACAATGTCAATGATTCATGCTTAAGAATGAGTCCGGATTAATTTCGATGGTTAAGCTGTAACACCAGTTCAGTGCCTATCTGGAGTGTCATCTGAAGGAGGCATCAGGGCCGAGCTATTTTAGGTTGCCCAAGACTAGACAGGAGTAGACGAGATTCAAAGGTCGGGTTCGAACTACGGGTCTCCCGGTCAGTGAGTCCGCGCCCTAACCACTGGGTCATCTCGAGCTCATAAATCTTGACGGTGTAACTTCAGTCTGTAGGAGCCACTACAAACAAGCACCGTTTTACGCCAAGTAGCACTGAGCTTAATTGAGCTGAATGAGCGACGCAAAGATCACTGTTCACTGGCAACCAATCGAACGAAGCCCGTTCAGCTCTGGGGCTGAACGTCATATACTCCGTGACACTGCTTCAGGAGCACCGGACAGAGTGCGTGAGATGTGAAAGAGATGAGTTTGTCCTTAGCGCTTTAGGATGCATGACCACGTCTGAGTCTTGCATGCGGGTTTCAGATTCACATCACACAAGAATTTTAGGGAAGTATAAGGTGCGGTTGACGCAAAGTGGCCTACAAACACCGAAGTGGCTGAAATTTAAGCCATACGTCGTGCACATAACTTTTGCTACCAGAATATTTTTAGTGAGCTCCTGTGGACCACAATTCCAGACCGCCGCGTTAATATCTGGCCTCAAGGGAGAATCGTCTAAAAGCCTTGACAGTTCAGTAAAAATCCATGGAACTTGAAAAGATTACCCAACAATCTAGGTTCATGTGTCTCAAAACATTGCGTTTTTAGTAGACGTTAACACTCCGACTCTATTCAAAACACGGCTCAATGAAATTTTATGGCGTCAGAGTGACCAGCAACTTCGACGGCAGGTTATTCTACCAAATGCTGACTGTTGGAGGGAACGGAATAAGCCCATACGCAGGACCTTGCGGTCTCTCCGATGCACTCTTGTAGGCATTCCCCACTTTCATGTTACACTTCTATGAGATGGTGATACGTATGACCAACTATTCCATACAACCCATTAGGGGGATTTCCCCATACCGACAGGTTCTTCCAGATTGTTGTGAACCCTACAGATTATAACCAGAGGGTTATCAACTACTACACCATTCGACCAAAGCTGCGCCCTCACTTGAGCGTTTAGATGAAATGACAAATTGGTCAACTGATTTTTTAGTATTATTCATGTTTGTTTTTCGCCATTACTGACTTTCGTCATTGATATCGCTCAATCTCGGTGTTCCACACCAGCGCGCCACAGTTCTCTCCCCTGACAAAATGCACAGAAGGCGATCGGGAGGATATGTTCTGTGACCCGGTCAGAATAAACGAGGGAACGAGAATTGGCCCTGACAAACTCGATCAACCTTAATCCAACGCTTGTCAAAGCTAGAAGACCCCTACCGTTGTAGACTGACGTCAAAGATAAACCTAAGTTCGCAACTTAATTGGTTATGTTTGACTTGTGCACAGTCAACCCGCTCCTAAGGATCAATGTGGGAACTGTGAAAGGATGGTTTCCGGACCTCTGTGTGGGATTGCAGTTTTACGTGGCAGGAACTTGGGATTAAGTATCCTTACATGGACCGCCAACTTTGAGCCTCCCCCGCTAACGGTACCTTGTTTAGCTCCTGCACCATCCTTTTTAGTTAGGGTCAGCCCGAACTTGAACTTGAGCTGTTAGTGGGTATTTGGCAAATGCGTCTACAACAGTACAGCGTGCATAGGGTTCAGAACGTGCGCCAAGAGTACAAAACCTCTGAATGAACAATCACCAGGAAGCGTGCGCAAAAATAGCTGGCTTTTTCGAAACACGGTTGGAATCAGGCATGCGTTATGACGCATAAATATGCTTCAGTGAAGCACGTACCAACAACAGTAGGTATATTGATAACCTCGGCTCACCGAAAAAACTGGAAAAGCTACAATGCAAAATTAGGGGAAATCGGACGTGTTAGTCAGTAGAACTGAATGAAAATGCAACGACACCGCCCCTGAAGTTCACTCACCATTCGGGTGCACGCCGACCTTGAGCGAGTTTGGGTTCAGTTCGATCTAATCACAGATTCACGGATTCACGGACTGATAAACACTATCGAGGCTTTCGCCCAAGTTTCCCAAGTAATTTTTTTTCCTTGTCGTTCAGCAGCTACTGGTTAACTGAAAGTCAAAAGCGAAAAAGAGGTGTAGCACCGTTCTTTCAGTACTCAGAGTGGGACAGTAAGGCTGCCAGCGCGAGGACTCGCACATGAGTGCCTGATAGTGCTTTGATCTGGGTACTAGATGAAGCGTGGACAACCTTCGTGTCAAGGTCATTCCATGCGGCAAATGCCCGAAATTCGAAAAAAGTTCTGCCCAATAAAATTGTGCGCTCTGAGTTTGAAAATCTTATTTATGCGAATCCTCGCGCTAAAAGCATACTGCCCCGCGCTAAGAACATAAAGAGCGGTGCTATACCATTTTCACTTGTGCCCTTCAGGTGAACGACAGTCACTGACCGACAAGAACAAAACTGACCGGGGAAGTTTGGGCAGAAGCCTCGATCCTGTGTATCAATCCGTGAGTTCTTACCATATCACCGGCGTGTGTTTTCTGGGTCAACGGTGAAGAGCCGGTTGGCTTATTAAGTAAGTAAGTAAGTAAGTAAGTAAGCAAGTAAGTAAGTAAGTAAGTAAGTAAGTAAGTAGGTAAGTAAATAAGAATTAGACCCCATCGAAGGCGACGACGCTCAGGGGGAAAGATCCTAACCAACACGAGACGCGTTTCATAGCCCACGGATTTAAGGTCGGCAAACATTTTCGTGGCTGCTCGCTGGATACGCTCATCGAGGGTCACGGGTTTCGTGCGTCCTGAATCGACAACCTGGCTGATGTATTCAAGAAACGGTCTGACGTAGTTTCCATAGGATATTTGGAAGTCTTTGCGAGCAGTACTTGAGAAAGAACCCCGACTCGTCCTTAGAACGGCGAATGGCTTGGGACCGATTTCTCATGCAGCAGTAAGGACGTTTGACGAGCGCCAGATAAATAAATCCTTTCAAACATCTATCCGCATGATGTCTTCCAGTTTATTCCTGAACCAAAAAAGGCATTAACTGAGTCTCTTCTAAATGATATATGGACGTATTTTTCCTCATTCGGTGGAAAGTGCCAGTCCAACGACCACTACTTTGCAGCGTCTAGACCCGTTTCCAGGGCATTGGCATCAAAACTCCAGGATTTCAAGTCATCCGAAAAAAAACGGACTTGCAAGAACATCAGAGCGAACAAAAGCGTATATCAGAAACGGCGGTAATCCCGAAACGGAGTCCTTGGGACTCCAGTGGCGAGCGGCGCCGGAGAAGTGTAGTTTGAGGCTGCTTACGCTCGGAATTCTCTTTCTGATAAGAGCGCCCGGATCCAGCGTAGAATTTTCCATCGAATCCCGTAAGATTCGGGTTTGCGGAGCGCCGGAACGCGCGGGACTTTATCAAGTGCTTTTATGAAGTCGAAAAATATGACATCCGAAGTGAGTTCCTCGTCCTTAGCTCGTCTTAAGCTGTCCAAGGGTACCAGTGTGTTTGTAGCGCACGTGTGGCTTGGGAGACATCCTTGCTTAATTGGGGATATCAAGTTTTTGGCAGCAAATTGATATAGGATGGCGCGCTACAGAATGCGTTACATCACCTCGCAGCACGCCATTGAGGCGAATAGGCCTGTAGCCACCTAGCGATAGTTGGTCATCAATATTTTAGATCGGGATTTCGATCGCTTCCTTTTAAGCAGACGTATGTTGGCCTTCGTCAAGCGAGCGAAAAAACACCATGTAGAGCTCTTTTGCCAGTGCGTACGTTTCTTCCAGGATCTTTGGATGGACCTTGTCAGGCCCCAACTAGCAAAACAAGTTGATCTTGTCCAAGAGTCGACGAATGTCTTCCCCTGTCAAGACCGAGTCAGTTGGAGGCCTTCCATGGTTACGCTCCGACTAGATCAG